GTGCAGTCAAAGGAATTAGAAGTTATGCTCTGTTGTATACAATGTGTCAAAATGCATCCGAGTGTCATGTATAAATAATTGGAGCTAAATAAATAAATAAATAAAATACACACAAAAAAGAAAGCGTCCTGGTTCACTCCTTCTCTACTAGACCTGGAATCATTCCTCGTTAATATTTGGTAGTGTGATAAGTGAGAAGATATATCCCTGTTACTTTTGTTGTTGTTCCTAAGCCTTAAATAAGGCCATCAACTTTATTATTTTTTAATAAAACCATTTTTTCATGACAGTTTTATTTTGTAGAGCTGAGCATGTGCGAAAGGTTATCATTTTAACCATCATAGCCTGCTGAGCACAACATTCTAGAGATATGGGCTTAGAAAAATATCTGATTAAGTAACAGTGTTGTCCTCTTATGTTCCACACACAATGCTATGCGGTATTTCACCTGGGCTGTGTCACTTAAGCCCCACACCAGCCTTTTGAGGTGGAAATTGTTAGTGTCTTCAGCTTCAGATGGGGACATTGGAGTTGAGAAAGTTGTGATTTCCTCAAGTTGACAGGGCTGGTTAGGTGGAGCTTGGTTGGAGTCTACCCATCCATTCTGTTCTGGCCTGTGCTTCTAGTCAGTGTTGGGTTGCTCAGGGCTCAACTGCATGTTCTCTACTCTCCTTTTCTCAACTTCGTTTCCCTAACTTCCACTTTGAGCATGCTAATTGGACGTTTAGTTTCTTTTCTTCTGTGAATTGCTTAGGCATTTTTGCCCAGTTTTATTATTCATTATATATGAAGTAAATCACACTGTAGGAGTTCTTTGTGTTTTATAGCTATTTCTTGGAATAATTCACAAGGAAGCAATAAACATACTATATAGGGCAGGTCTACACTTGTTTATAATGAATGAAAAATTTGAAGAAATGTAAATGTCAAACAATTGAGGATTGAGTAAATGAATCTGATATATTCATATAAAGCAATATTTTAAACCTTTAACCTCTAAAAGATCATGTGATAAAAATTATTACCCAACCAAAGGAAATGTTTACAATGCATTAAGGCAGACTGCTGCACTGTATATAAAGTGTAAATCTTTTGACTTTTTTTTAAAAAAAAACTACAAAAATAGTGTGCAGGTAACAGGAAGAAAACTGAAAAACTTGTTGCCTCAGAGTAACAGTGATTATATTTTGGGGTGATGATATTATGAATTGGTTTTGTTTTTTATTGTTTTAGCCCCCCCATCCATGTTTTCTTATATATTTTACCTTGTAGTTATAAAAAAAAGAGAAAGATTTACTATATATACACAAAGAGGGGAAAGAATTGCAAATTTTCTAGAATAAATTATGTTTTATCATAGTATGCATTTTGGGGGCACTTAGGATAACATTGTGTTAGGCCTTGAGGAAAATTCAAAGAGAAAGCCAAAATAAACACTGATTCATTTTAATGAATGTGGCATGATTAAGTGCTCCCTGTGTGTTAGGACTTGTGCTGAGGGCTAGAGATGCAAAGGTGAGCAAGAGCACTGGATCTAGGGCTCACCTCCTAGGATTAAGCCATGCTCAGATGGAAATGTGGATAGGAACATGTCCAGGGATGTCAGGGTTTGGATATGAAATATCCCACAAAAGCTCCTGTGGTGAAGTAATTAGATTATGAGAACTTAACCTAATCACTGGTTCAATCTGTTTGATGGGTTATAATGATTTGAATGGACTACTAGGTGGTAACTGTAGGCAGGTAGGGTGTAGCTGGAGGAACTGGGTCACTGGGGGTGCTTGAGGATTATACCTTGTCCCTGGCTCTTTTCTCTTCCTGCTTCCCAGCTGCCGTGAGCTGAGCAGCTTTCCTCCACCGTGCCTTTCCATGATGCTCTGCCTCACGTCAGGCCCAGAGCAATCGAATCGGCTGACCATGGACTGAACCTCTGGAACATGAGCCAAAATAAACTTTTCCTCTTCTAAGTTATTCTTGTCAGGTGTTTTAGTCACAGTGATGGAAAGCTCACTAATACAAGAGATCAACATGAGAGACAGATATAAAGTACTCTCACATAATCACTGACAAGGTCTCCAGCAGTTCATTAAGACAAATTATAGAATTCCTTCTGCATTTTAAGGGAAAAAGGAGATAGAGGTTAGTGGAAAGGAAAGACTGCTCAGAGGAACTGTCAGAAACAAAGAAATGAAGGACTTTGTCTACTATCTTTCTAGAACAGAGCTTCCTAACCTGGGACTCACATTATAGGGGGATCTGTGAACCCTGAAACTATCTGGGAAATTATTATGTGTATGTGCTGTCTTTTTCTATTAAGAGAATCCATACCTATCCTCAGATTCTCATAGGGGATTTTGGCTCCAATAAAAGGTTAAGAACACAGACCTAGAAGAATAGTGAAAAGATTCTCTGATTGCCTCGTGGGGAGGATGAGTGGGAGTTGGGAGGCCATGCTGAGGAATGTTAAGTAGATAGAGTGAAAACAGAACTGCTGGGAGTCATTTGTAGTAAGAGTCGTATCGTTTAACCTTCCTATGTTATGATGCTGTACCTAAGAGTTATTCTAGCTCATTGTTTTTTCGCCCTCATTTTTTGTCCTTAGTAGGAAATACATCTTCAGAAACTTATCAAGAGTCTCAAATGCAGTCTGTTTTCTTCCTAGCCCCTCTTTTATTTTCACATCAGTTTTTGGTGGTAATGTCTTTAGAGAACATAGTCAAAACTACAACAGCTCTTCCATGCAGGAGTTTTCATTATCTATGTGGGCAATCCATGACTAGAGAGAAAAGCAAATTATACTTCAAGACAAAATGGAGACCTGTGTTCAGGCTGGAAAGAAGAGAGCTTTTGTGCTTCAATTTTGAAAGTTGATAATTTGTTAGTTTATGTAAGACCAGGATGCCATTTGAAATAGTGAACTGAGCTTTGCTTTCCCAAAAAAGGCAAGGTATGTTAAATTCAGAGCTGCTTGCACACATTTCAGATCCATTTTGCTTGAGCTCTTTTGTGTTTGTAAAGAAATGATCAGACTTGACAGAAGAGGTGGGAGGAGCACTGGAAAGTATGAGAGGGGATAGAGTAAAATGGATTTTCAGCTTAATTAAATCTGCTTTGAACTTGTCAGCAAAGAAAATATATGTGTGTGTGTTATTGGGAAACAGTTCCCTTAAACTCCTTTCCTTGGAGCCTTGTCTTATTCTCCCCATGACCCTCCTGGCTTGCCATTCTGAGTACTCATCTTCACTCCCTGCATGGCTAACTAGGCCATTCTTCATTGGTGATGGTATCTGTCCTTTTAAGATATTCTCATCCCTCCTATTTTCTAATGAGATACATTTGCTGAAAGAAAAAGAAAAAATCCAGAAGAAGAAACAGAAGGCACAAGCCTAGTCTGCTGGTGGCCTGGGAGCCGAGAGAGGCTATCAGGCCAGCAACAGCCTCTGTAGCATTGTCCCTGCTCTTTTCAGTGGGCAAGACAGGTCTGGTAGGCAATGGGAACTCCCTGTCCCTCTCACCTCCCACCTGTGCACATTCCACTTAGTTTTGGATTCTCCTCTGTGTGTTTGAAATATTCATGTGGAAATACCTAGAGTCCTTCAGGGGGTATACTTACAGAAAAGCCTTACAAGTGGCCTCCATTTGATTATTCTCTTGCCAAGTGTATTTTGTAATCCTTAAACTTTCCATGTCTCACTCTTTCGCTGACTCTTCTCTCTCCTTTTATCTCTTGACCCACTCTAAACCCAAATCCTAATAAAGTAGCTTATCAATGATGTGAATAAAATTAGAGACAGTATAGTGACAGAGAACCTTGGAGCTTATCATCTGCTAGGTACCCAAAAGTTTTTGTTGAGCAGGTGAATGGGTACAGCCAAGCTGTCTGGGCTGTGGCCCCAGCTCTCTCACATGAATGATTTATGTGATACCCCATGCCTCTCTTTCCTCATCTTCAGCATAGGGAAGATCATTGCAACTGCCTGGTGGGATTGTAAACTAAATGAATTTATTCTTATAAAGGGAACAAGATAGTCCCAGGTGAAAGTAAGCTTGAAATATTTTCAATATCTCAGCATCTGAATATTTGAGATGTAAACAGCATTACTTCTTGAGAGGTTCACTGGGAAAGTACAATTGGAAGCTAGAAATTTAACCCATAGATAAGTCACTCTTTAGACCAATGGTTTTCATTTACACCATTCCACCTAAATCACTTCTTATCACTGAGTTTGACACAGCTGACCCCCATTTCTTCTTGGCCTACTTTTTTCTGGGGTTTTCTGTTACACTGAACACTTTTGATTTCCTTCCTCCCTTAGTAGGCAACTCTTCTCAATTTCAGTTGCAAGATTCTTCTTGTTTACTTGTTTATTTATTAACTTTTCATTTGAAGTAATCATAAATGCACAGGAAATTGCCCCCCAAAAAATGTGCAGGCCAGGTGCCATTTTTACATGGAATGCTCCTAAACTTTTATTGTCTCGCTTACAGAAGAAATTGTGGGACGTGATGACATTCATTCTGCTATTGACATCCATTTATGCTATTGGGACTCTAGGGGATCATTTCTATAATTTTTGGAAAAGCAAAAAAAATTAAGTAGAACTTTAACATAATTCTGATGAAAGCTTTGTAAATGTTATTTCTTCTTCTTTGCAAATATATATATATACTCTCTCTGATAAGGGCTGCCCCTGGCATGTTAAGATAGTGATTAGTAATCGTCCTGTGGTCCCATGTGCTTCCAGTGAGAAGAAGAAACTAGAGTCTTGGAAACTATGAAGGGAATTTATTCCCAAGTCTTCCTTAACAAGGACACACAGCAGAGAACATGGGTGCTGAATGTAGTAACAGAGCTAGATTTGAGCAGAGAGAAAGCTCAGTTGCATTTCTTTGTTCTGGTGGTTGTACATGTGCATCTTGTTTGTCCTATATCAATTTCTCTCCTATAGCCTTCTCAAGTATTGAACGTTACATCTCAGGTTTTCTACTTTGTGTTTCAGGCCAAACAAGCCCTTGAAAATACTGAAGTTCCTGTTGGCTGCCTTATGGTCTACAACAATGAAGTTGTGGGGAAGGGAAGAAATGAAGTTAATCAAACCAAAAATGTATGTGAGTTAATTAGTGTGATTACAAATGTACAGTAGCGATGGTAGTAGCAGAGGGATCCTAGGACAATTGAGGAGAAGATGAGACTGAACATGGCCCCTGAGGTAGGCACCAGTGCTGAGGTAGTTTTTCTTTAATATGTCTCTCTTTTTAAAAATGCTTTTTTTCAGATTACAACAGTAATACAATGTTTAATTTAATTTAATTAATTTATTTATTTGTTTATTTATTTATTTATTTATTTATTTCCATACGGGGGATTGAACTCAGGGGCACTCGACCACTGAGCCATATTCCCAACCCTATTTTGTGTTTTATTTAGAGACAGGGTCTCACTGCATTGCTTAGTGCCTAGCTATTACTGAGGCTGGCTTTGAACTTGCAATCCTCCTGCCTCAGCCTCCTGAGCCGTTGGGATTATAGGCGTGTGCCACTGCGCCTGGCTTGTTTTATTTTAGAAAAACCTAATGAAGTTATAAAACTGTAGGGGATAAGATTTTCTGGTTTTCTATTTCATAGAGTTTTATGTTGACCCTTGAGTGAAACCCAAGAGTGGATTCTGTTATCTCAGTGTGTCAGCATGGAGAAACAAGTCTAGCTCCATTTTAAGCAAATCTAATATGTGAAAACTACACTTTGCAAAGGAGATCAATGTACTTCTTCATGCATTCTTCTTTTCCTTTAAGCATTTTCTTCCTAGTAAATCAGTTTATAACTTTGGAGGGAGGAATAGAAGAATTATATAAAGGAACCTATTTTTGTGTCAGATAATTCAACAGAATAAGGTCTCCAGCACCAGCTGTCTGTAACCATGTGTAGTGCATGTGCTCCAAGGGCTTGTGGTTTTCTCTTGGTTGGGTGGAAATTGCATGGTTTAAGGCTGTGCTCCTTAGACATGGTGTCACAACAGTGTCATAGTAGGTATACTTGGGAAGTGGAAGTGGAAGGGAAATACTAAAATTTATGATTATAAATCCACATGGATTCAAGGATAACTTTGATCTTTTTTTTTAAGAAAGAGAGAGAGAGAGAGAGAGAGAGAGAGAGAGAGAGAGAGAATTTTTTTTAATATTTATTTTTTAGTTTTCAGTGGATACAACATCTTTGTTTGTATGTGGTGCTGAGGATCGAACCTGGGCTGCACGCATGCCAGGCGAGCGTGCTACCGCTTGAGCCACATCCCCAGCCCAATAACTTTGATCTTATCATGTGATCTTGGGAGCTGGAGAACAATCTAGTGTTGGTACCCAATGCTGCTAAAGCCTTTAAAGTTCATCTATCACATGTATCAAAAATAAAAAAAGAACCTGAGATTTAGCAAAACAAGTAGAGTAGGAATCCAAATTCACAAAGAAATTGTTATGAGGATATCAAAACATCTGTGAGATAAGTAATAATCATAATACAGCAGTTAAAAATGAATTTATTGATGCTTGCCTAGGAATTCTGTTTTTTATTGTTGTTTTGGGCACTAGGGATTGAACTTGGGGGCATTTAATCACTGAGCCACATTCCCAGCTCTTTTTCAGTCCTTTTTATTTTGAGACAAGGTCTAAGTTGCTTAAAACCTCAATAAATTGCTGAGGCCAGCTTAGAACTCCTGCTCTAGCCTCCAAATTTGCTAAAATTATAGGTGTACACCACGGCGCCTGACATGGAATTCTGTTTTAAACAGTCATTGTTATCTCCCAATTTGTGTTCTGTAGTTTGGTATGATATCTTTAGCATGAGAATTTTGAATGACCTGACAATATCCATCTAATCCCATCTAGATCCATCTAATCTATTCCATAACCTGGATTTCTTCTATATCTAAACATTAAGCAAGGTCTATTCTGGTATCACCTGTTATATAGATTACCCTAATATGCACAGAAAGACTTTGGACCCTAAATGAGGAGACCTAAATTCTACTTTTGTTCTGATACTACCACCACCCCATCAACACCACCAGCTCCTCTCCCTATGCCTTTAATACATGCTAACATAGCTTAACTTACATTTCTAGAAGGAGTTGACAGAGATGATTCAGTGCAATAATTATTTGTCAGGAGCTCTGGGGAGATATGATTCAGAAATTCTGAACCTGAGTTTTAAAGAGAATCTACAATGGGGAGACATTTTTTTAACCTTTCCAGGAGTTTCAGTATGATGTCAAGATTGGCAGTCTTTTTTCTAAAGTAACTTCCGTGTGAGTTTCTGATTCTATAATTTACCCACATATCTCCCCTGGCCAGCTTTGCTCCCATCAGCCTCTGGCTTCCATGGCATCTTGGTCACAGTGCCAGCACTTCTCACACCATGCCTTAGATCATAGCACCTTTCAGTTGGCCTCATCCAATTTTATGCTCATTGAGGGCAGTGATGTTTTTTTTATCCTATGCAGAATTTATTTAGGACTGTGCTTTGTATATATTTAGCACTCAGTGCAAATTATTGATAAATGCTATTGTAATGGATATTATAAATAAGTATTTTATAGAGGATCTATGATCTACATTAAGCTATTTAATAAGGGGAGAAGAAAAGGGAAAGAAACCTAGCCAAGAACATATATGCAACACTGTGTTTCATGTAATTCAGCTATTACATGCATTATGAGGTGTGTAGGGGTAGATATCAGTGCACCCCATTTTACACATGGGGAAACCAAGGCTTAAAGAAATTAGTTAATTTTCCCAAGACTACATAATTAGTATCATCACTGTCAGGATTCAAATTTAAATGCAGTCAATTCCACTTGCTGTGTGATTTCTCCTGTAGTGTGCTGTCTCCCTTGAGGTATCTGAGATTCATACCAAATCTCTGTTTCTCTCCAGCCTGCCGGTATATAAAATCTCATTCCCCAAAATGTAAATGATGACATTCCAGTAAGCTAAATATAGATTTGCTTAGAGTGAGGTCAGTGACAGCCTTGAGAATATATTTGAAACTGGAACTCAAGCTTATAAAAATTGTAAGCTTCCCCTAAAATATTCAGAAGCCATAGATGTCTTTTTTTTTTTCTTTTTGAGACTTCTCTCTGGCATTTTAATTGCAAGTGTCCCCTAAGGGACTTAGGAAGTTAACTAAATACAGCAGGATTTGTTCAGCATCTTAGATGAGGGGGTCTTCTGCTGGTGAGGCTATGATACGTAAACTGGGGAGGATGTCCTAGAAACACATTCATTAAAATGGCAGAAATGATGGGCATCTATTTTTGTAGTTAAATTTTGTATATTTGTAGAATATCTATTATATGAAGCAAATGATATTGTGTAAACATCTCTTTCTTTTAAGGCTACTCGACATGCAGAGATGGTGGCCATTGATCAGGTCCTGGATTGGTGTCATCAGAGTGGCCAGAGTCCTTCTACTGTGTTTGAACACACTGTGCTATATGTCACTGTGGAGCCGTGCATTATGTGCGCAGCTGCTCTCCGCCTGATGAGTATCCTTTGACTTCATAGGACTGTGTCTTATACCCGTCCCCTATCAGAAAGTGACCAAACACAAAACCTGTTTTCTTCCTTCTTTTTTGACCCTGGGGATTCAACTCAGGGCCTTACTGCACATGCTAGTCACACATTATCACTGAGCCACACCCTGGCCCTCTGTTTTCTAACATAAGAAAACAAACTTATAAAGCACATCGTAAAACATTGTGTATCTTGGCAAAAAAAGGGAAAGTTTAAAATAAAATTACCTATTTCTTTTTGTATCAATACATGTAGAACTCTTGAACAAATAAGCTAGAAAGGAAGAGCTGGAGGGCTGGGGATGTGGCTCAAGGAGTAGCACGCTTGCCTGACATGCGTGAGGCACTGGGTTCGATTCTCAGCACCACATAAAAATAAAATAAAGATATTGTGTCCACCTAAAGCTAACAAATAAATATTAAAGAAAGAAAACTAAGGATAAATAGTAAATTAAGTTAAAGTAAGTTATAGGAGAAGTTAGGAAAAATATGCACCAAAGTTTAAGCTTGGATAATGGTTTAAATTTTTTCTTTCTTCGTTTATCTGTCTTTTTTTTTTTTTCAATAAGAAAATTTAAGCCAAAAATAAATAAGTTAAAAAATCATTTGTGATACTATAATTATCTGCAAATGGTAAATTATTTACATTATAATTCTGGGTTGTGTCTTGCTTAGAGTAAACAATATAAATACTGGGTGTAGTCAGCCTAAAGATCTTTTCAAAAATTATATGAAAATAAAGAAACTTAGTTTCACACTGGTATTTTCATGTACTTTTTAAACTATATATGTTGAATAATTTTATCACTTTAAAAATAATACAGAGGTTTGTATTGGGGCACGGGGTATATTTTACTTAGGGACAGAAGCAGAAGCAATCTGTTATTTTTAAAAGGTAAAAATCCCCAGATTGAATTTCAGCCTCTTTTCTGGCTCCAATTCTCTCATGTTTCTGGAAAAGCGGTTTAGGAAAAAGCAGAGAGTGCGCTAAACTAAAAGCTGAGCAACTGCACCATCGGTTTCCATTCTGTAGCAATTGTTAAATATCACTCTCTAAATACTTTAAACCTCTTTCTTTTGTGTAGCTGGATTGTGTCGTGTTTAGGACTGACCCTAGCTTAACTGTCTTGCAGAGAGCAGACTGAGCTTTCTTTCCACCCCCATTTTGCCACAGTACTTCCTGTACTATGTATAACCTTAATTCTGTCTTATAAATCCCACTGGTCGTCTATGGCTGTCAGAATGAACGATTTGGTGGTTGTGGCTCTGTCCTGAACATTGCCTCTGCAGACTTACCAAATACAGGGAGGCCTTTTCAGGTAATATGATCTGCTTATGCTTCTTCTTTCTCTGATTGCATTCATCTCACTTATAGTGTGTGGTTGGTGTTCCAAGAAGCCATGTCAGAATCAGACAGGATCTTGGGACCCCGAGGGTGGGCTCCTTTAGACCCCAATGGAGGACAACAGGTAAGTTTCTTGTCAGTGTCCCCTCTCTTCACTCACAGCTTCTCCTAACCTTCCCCTGGCTCCTGACAAGCTTCACCACAACAGGTAGATTAAGGAGCTGCTGCCAGAGCTTTCACTCACTGAATATTACCTGCTCCAGGATGGACCAACTCTGGGGAGGCTTAGCCTGTGTCCATGTCAGTAGATAATATTTTAAGTGAACACAATATTCTTGCATAAATCCAATCATTTTGCTTGATCACCACTTACCTACTAGCAATCACTGTAATTTTATTTTCCCCTGACCTTCTTAATGTTGAAATTTCTTCCAGATCCAAGAATCCACATCTTTCATTTCTTAGAAATTCTGCTTTCTTTGTGCTCTTGCCACATCTTCCACATTTTTATGGTTAAGAGTGTAAGCATTAGGAATTTATATGCATCCCAGACCAGACTCTGACATGAATTGTTGTTCTCTCCAAGATGTAAGGTTAACCCCAAAGTATTGTATTTTCAAAAGAAAAGGATTTAACAAATGGTGAACCTTGGACAGTTCACTTTAAACCCTTGGGTATTCTTAGATAAGGACCTATGAAGGGCTAAATTTGGCTGCATCCCACTGAGAACAAGTTTTGTAGAACATTCTGTCTGAATTTGCCCAGCTGGACATTAGCTTTCTTAATAACTGCTATACATTTGAGAATAGATGCCTTTAACATCACATTGAAAGAAACTGTAATGGGATGATGGAAAGTGAACAGTACAATTTCCCTGATAATTAAAGACATCAGCAAAGTCATTGGATTTTTTCCCATCACTTCTATGAGTAGCTGAAACTTTAATTGCATAACTCTTTGCAAATGGATTGCTGACTCTGTACAGTACTTCTTTTTGGGAATGATCTAAAGAATTTCTCAGAGGTTTTGGGCAGAACAAAGATGAGCCCCAGGATATCAGACATGGATGGAACATTTCTCTCTGAGACGTCATCAATGTGAGGCCACAACCATAGTCTTTTTTCCCTGATATCTCTGCACAGAGTCAGAGAACCTAAAGTCTGGCTGAACCTAAAAAACATTCATTTGCAGTTTGTACACCAACTACATGAGCTCAATTAAAACTGAATGGCCACAGCTTGAAGCCATGTATCTAGGTTTGATGCTCAAGTATGAGTTTTAAATGTGTTTTGAGATTCTAAAGAAACATGGATGCCCTAGCTTTCTGGATTCTGTATTTTCTTGCTTTCTTTGGCTGGATTCAGTAGGCAGAGGATGACAGGAAAGTAGGCTCTCTTTTCTTATTGTAGAATTATATATTCTATAAGCAGCAGAAAAGTTCATAGAAAAGACCAACAGAACTGTTCTTTTCAAAGAAGATGTCAATTCATTTATAATACCTGCTCTGTCTTAAAGATTTTTTTATTTTATTCATAATGTGTCCTTTTTACTAAAGCCACAAATCTGTAGCTACAATGGATACTTGCAAATACTATCTTGATATCTTCGCACAACACAATTTCCTTCTCCACCTGTAATCCCAAGAGCCTTTTCCCTGCCTGCATATCTGAATCACCTGGAGGGCTTTGGTGCTCAGTCTTTGCCCTTAAACCAACTGAATGAGAAGGCAGGGCATGAGCACTGCTGTGTTTGAAGGGGCCTCCCAAATGATTCTACTAAGCAGCTGGGATTGAGAACCATTGCTCCAATTCCATGGGAGAGGAGAGGGCTTTGCATGTGCACTAGGGTGCTGCTCTCCAGAGCAAAGGTAGGAGTCCTGGGGTACCAGCTCCTTATACACAGAAAGCCCAGGACACCTGTGCAGAGACCAAGCAACAGTGGTTAGAATAATAATATACAAAGGAAGAGAAGATGCCTGAGGCAGGTGTGGAAAGAAGGTGTGGAAGAGAAGATGCTAAGATGAGTTAAGGAGGTGGAAAGAAGACCAGGGTTTTGGTATGCAGGGGCCCTTAGAATATCTGAGCAGCAGCGTCAGTGGAGTCGAGAACATAAGCCAGTGATGGTGAGGTTGACAAGGAAATGAGAGTGAGAGGGAAATCTAGAATGTTCTGGGGCAGAAGCAGGACATTTGCTCTGAGGAGACAGGTGAATTGACAGTTGTGGTTACCATGGGGAGGGTGTGTGGGGGCTTTGTGTGGTCTGGGCCTAGCTCCTCCTGATGCAGACACAAGTACACATTCCAAGGAGAAGTTCATTAAAAATAAGAGCAGACTAGGCTGGGGTTATGGCTCAGTGGTAATGAGCTTGCCTAGGATGTATGAGGCACTGGGTTCGATTCTCAGCACCACATATAAATAAATAAAATAAAGATCCATCAACAACTCAAAAATATTTAAAAAAAAAAAAAAAAAGAGCAGAACTGGGAGAACAGTAGGACCTTATTTTACACCAGTCTTTGTACCCCAGACTCAGGAACCATTGGGACATGGTCTCAGATATGACCTCTAGCCTAAAGACAGGAAGAAAGACCATGATCTGGAGGACCCCCCTACCCATGAGGCCAAATAGCATCATTAAACCGTCATGTTTTAAAGACCATCTAAAAATAATGGGGTGTCAGTGGAGGTGGATGGTGCCAACTGGGGTTGTGCTGGGGATGTGCTTGTGGGGCACAGTACACCAAAGGTTTAATGTCTTAAGAAATGCTTTCCATGGTGTCATCAGCATAATAGGAATTCCCTTGATCTGCTTTCAACCCCAAGTCACAGTTCTCATTAAGAATGTCAGCAGTCTGGTCCTTGGGTGGACAGAGTCTTCCTTCTGATGGCTTCCAGGTGTTCAGTTCCTATCAGACTCTTCCTCAATCACAGCAAGGCCTTTCTCTTCGGAATGTGTGCCCTAGCTACAGACAGGAGTGTCATTAGGGATGCTCTGCACCACTGGCTAATGGCCATCTCAGTGTCTGTCTCTCTCTATCTCTGTCTCTCTCTCTCTCTTTCTGTCTCCTGACAAATCTTTGCAAAGCCAGCCTCTGGGTTGGGAACAGCTCCCTCCTGCTTGGGGGTAGTTGTGGGACCCTGACATATCCCTGTGGCCCCCAGAGCCTGGGCCTTGGCCACCTTGGGGCCCATGCCTGGCTGCCTGTGGCCTGCTACCCTGAATGCTGCTTGACTATGTGTTGTGCAGGCCTAGTTGTCAGCCCAAGGATATGTCCACTTCTTTAAATATCCTTCAAGTTTTTCACCTTCTCCATATAATATTACCTATAATATCACTCCCTACTAGTATCACAACTTCTTATTTATTCTTTCACATGCTTTGATTTCCCCTCTCCAGTTAGGTCCCAAAGATAGAACAAACACTTTTTTAAAATCCTCTATAGCAAAAACTGACAAACTTTTTATATAAAGGGCAGATAGTATATATTTTAGCCTTTATGAGCCACAGTATCTCTGTTGCAGAGCATTTTTTTTAACAAATCTTTCAAAATTTATAAACCATTCTTAGCGCACCACTCTTGGCTGTGAACTGAATTTAGTCCACCAAGTATAGGTGGCCAACTCCAGTTCTGTAGCATCAAACACTTAATGAGCCACACCAATAATAATATAACAGCAGATAAAAATAGTTAATGCTTTAAAAGCGCTTGTGATACACCAGGTATTTAATAGATATTATCTCATTAAATCCTCATGACTTCTCTCTGAGCAAGTGCTGATACCTATGTTGTACATGTGAGGCATGGAGTTTAAGTACCTTATTCAAGATCACACAGCTAATATCTCCAGTAATAGTTGCTTGAGAGTGATGTTTGAAGCTAAATGTCTTTTCTTTTGTAAATGTGCTTCTTTACCCATAGTAATATCCCCAAAGTGATTAATATTATCTGAAATCTCTTCGCCTGTGTATGTGTTGCTGTTTTTAAGGCCTACAACACACACTCATGGGCAGGTGTTCATTTCTCACTTTTCTTATTTCCTCAGTGCATTCCTGGGTATCGGGCTGAGGAAGCAGTACAACTGCTGAAGACTTTCTACAAACAAGAAAATCCAAATGGTCAGTTTTCCCCTCTTCAAATAATGTCCCTCCCCTAAAGCAAATCAGTGTGAAGAGAGTCTTCATTTTCTTTTCTATTCTTTTTACAGCCCCCAAATCGAAAGTTCGGAAAAAGGATTGTCAAAGATCGTGAACTTGTTTTGAGAAAGACTAATCCACACAGTGACCTGCACAAAATTCCTGGCCTGAAAGCTGTTGACATTGATGAATCATATGTTTATATGTTGTTTCTCTGTGGGAAAATGGTGCCTCTCAACATTTGCTCTGTTAAGGGAACAAATTAGCACTTTTTAAAAGTCTGACAATTGTAAACAACTATTAGCTTTTCCACAAGCTGAAAGAACATTTTAAGAAGGGGGAAAAAATTAAGGTTTGAGGTTTTAGGAATTAGCAAACAGTGCATGCCCCTCAGCCACAGCATGATGCCCAGTCCAGGAAAGGGCTGGCTTTTCGGGGAAAGTGCATCCAGCCCTAGTGACCTGCTTATGTCTGAGCTAGCATGTGCCAGGCTAGGACTTGTTCTCCAGGCCTGGCCTTTCAGGGTTGGATTCCTCCCTAGGGACTGGGGCCTGGCTTTATTCTAAATTGCATATGAGTTGTATAGATATGATCATGATTATATAGTCCATAGTATAGATTTTTTTTTCTTTTATAAAGCATTTAGAGAAAATGCATACTTAAAATAAGTCCTTGAAGGTCATTTTTAAGTTATAGCATATTGCTATAATAAAGCCTTATTTATGCCTTCTTTGAAAAGGAACAGTCTTAAAAGTAAAACATAAAAGTGGAAATGAGACAATTCCTTGTTTTTGAGCAGCTGTTTTGTGCCAGGGTCCTGGAACAAAAAAAAGAATTCTGCCCTTGTGGCAAAGGGAGACAGATCATAAATATAGCCAATCACATGGTTTACTGAAGGGTGATAAAATTGGGGGTAATGCTAGATAAGGGTATGGGCACACCAGTTGGTGATAGGAATGCTGGTTGCAGAATTAAATGGAAAGATCAAGTTAATCTAAAATCAAAGTTATTTTTATTTAAATATAATAAACTTTAAATTTAATATCCAAAATCTGAAACTGTAAATTCGACACAGGAAAGAGTACCCACTGCAGAAGCCCCAGGTGATCACCTCACCCACTGCAGTAAGGGTCACTGATGCCAAGTGCCACTTTGTAGAGCCTCCCTGGGAGCAATGTGCTTCTCTAGCCAGAAGGGGGCCTCACCGTTCCAGCAGAAGCCCAGTGCCAGGCCCTGGGTGGCAGTGCCTTCTCAGTGCATTTCTTCAGTGGATTCATTTCCTTGATGCAAAGCATCTGTATTTGTTGGTTCTGCCTTTGAGTGATGTCTCTGACTTGTTTGTTTTGAATTACATTACAGGCTGGAATGTAATTGTGGTGGAAGTATTTTTATATCACTGAGAGTAGCAGCTAATCACAGTTACATGCTTCAGAGGATTTATAATTGCTTGGTTTTGTGCATCTGTGTTCTTACTGCATTTGGGAAGTTTTATGGAGAAGAATATGCATGATTTAAAATCTACAATAATGTACAGGCACCTTCTCTTTGATTTTACCTATTTTTAAAATTGTCTTCTCATTAAATTTTAGTGCCTTGACTAGTTTGTTCTTTTTAGCAGTTGGTCATAATTCACTTCTGGCTCCTTATGCTTTTCTGCAAGCAGACTTCATTTCATTTATTGTCTGTATACCATCTTCTTGGAGATTATTTGTAGGACAAACAACCTGGAGGGTCTTCCCTCTGTAGAGTAGCATGCAGAATCTGGCTGAGCACCTTAAGCCAATAGGTTCTTAGCAAACATTTGCTAAATTAAATTATTAGTTGAAACTTGGGGGAAAATGAATAAGGAGACTAAGATAAAAACACAAAGTCAAAAATGGTATATGGGTATATTATCCCAGAGACCGTAATTACTAAGAATCAAAACAAAACAGTAAACAGGGAAAGATAGAAAAGAGACTATACATACATATGTTCTGTTTTTGTTGTGTTTTGAAGAATGAGTAAGTAGTATTTCCAGATTCTTTAACATGGATGAACACTTTAATTTCAGTTTACCACCTTTTCAGGTCTCTCTCTGTGACTGACTCTGTCTGTGCTGAAGTTTCGGACACATGCATAGTTATATCTATTGCTTTGGTAGAAAATCAGTTAAGATGGCACATTGTACCCTGGAGGCCAGCACTCCCAGTGCTGATGCAAGACCACTGTGGGTGCCACAGACATTGCTGCTGCAGAATTCAGACAGCAATATTCATGTAGTGACCCCATATCTTGAGTACCATGTTCTCCAGTGACAGCCATTGCTTAAAATATGAATATGTCTCAGTTCAAAAGTTTGCTTTCAATTCATTGATACTGACAGTGCCTACCTAAGGGAACAGCTAAGAAACTTGCTTTGTCTATGGATGGTTCTGGAAGAAGTGGGTTACAAAAAGGTTTTAAAGTCACTTTCCTGTTTAGAGAAATTGAGGGGAATTTATTAGATCTAAGCCGCTAGAGTATCCAATGTTTGCTGGGTTTTGCAACAAACTTTGCTGAAGATGGGTGGTATGTAATGTTTTGGCAGACTTCAATCACCTTTAAAAGATCATGTTAAAATATCTTTGTGCTTTCTTGTTACTTGGCACGAGCGCTTCTTCCTGTGTTGTATTTGGAATATAATGGAGAGAAAATAGATAGCCCAAAATCCCAAGCACTATTAATTTTTCTTGTAACTGTACTTGAAAAATTGTGTATATTATGCATCATGGCCCTTTTCTCTGAATTTCTTCAGTATCTAATAGGCAAAAAATATTTCTTACGTTACCACTGTACAGTTAATGATTTCAGGAAATTTTACATTGATGTACTGTAGGGCTGGGGTTGTGGCTCAGTGATGGAGTGCTTGTCTGGCATGCATGAGGCACTGGGTTCAATTCTCAGCACCACATATAAATAAATAAAAAGGTCCCTTAATATCTTAAAAAAACTTTTTAAATAAAAATAAAAAATAAAATAAAAATTGATGTACTTTATCATTGGTATTCCCATTTTACCATTTAGTTCAATTACTCCCTTTTGCAAATTTCCTCTACTCTCCCTACAATACCAGATCCCTTCTAGGGTCAGATGTTATATTTAGTTTCCTTGTGGAACCCAAGGTCTGGCCCATGCTCTACCACTCTACCATTGAGCCCCACCCCAGCCCCACTGGCAGTTTTTAATAGCATGGTCATTCTGCCCCTCCACTACCTTTACTTCTGCTGCTGCTGCTTCTTTGTCATCTTCTAAATAGACTGGTCCTTTTTTAAAATTTATTGGTATTCTCTCATGATTAGATTCAGACCATGCACTCAGAGGATACGATATTCCCCTTAGAAGTACCACATCTAGAGGCACAAAAGGCCATTGACTCCACTGGTTATGTTAACTTTGGTCACCTGGTCAAGATATCTGAGTTATTCACTATATAATTGGTTCCCCCCCCCTCCATTGCAATGAATAAGCTATCTGTGGGAGAGGATTTTTACATTTTTTAGGAGAAAGTTCATTGGACATTGATAGAAAGGAGGGAAGGAAAATTAATGATATAAAATTTAAAGCAGCTATTGAATTATTAGACTGCATTTTCCCTCTGATACTATGCCTGCCAGAATACACAAAATTCTTTTTCTAGTAAGAATATTTTAAATTGCACCGTCTTTTTAAAAATTTTTACATGGTGCTGAGGATGGAACCCAGTGCCTCACACATTCCAGATGAGTGCGTTACCACTGAGCCACAACCCCAGCCCCAATAGCCCTGTCTTAATGAAAGTTAGAAGGAAGCCTCAAATGTTAGTTCTTTCCATCTTCCTCCTCAGCAAAAGTAAATTTTATATGACTGATAGAATTCCAAAAATTCTAAGATATTTCTGACATTGGAGATGGCAGAGAGTGATCCAGTAGGATATAGAACCCTAGGTAGGTAGTCATTTGGCCACAAAATGTGAGTCTTCTTGGGTTTCCATAGAGACATCTCATCTAGGCTTAAAATGCTTTAAGTCCTGCTACTTAAGTGTTAGTAAAAACAGCAAAAGTCGGGACTTTTTAAAAAATCATTTTATTGTTATTTTTTAGTGTAGGTTCCCTGTTAAAAATCTGCATGGACGCCAAAGCTTGTCCTTCCCAGGCGTTCTGCATCAACTGGCCTTGAGTAGCCCCAGGGAAAAGAGGCTTCAGGAATTGGTTTCCCTGCCTTTTGGCAAAGGAATGAGACTGTGTTGACTTCATCGATGAAGACAACTGCCAGCTATTTCCTTACTTCATAAATTGCTAATTGTGTGTGGTGAGGAGAGGAGTGATGGGCCACGTTATTTTTATGGGTGAGATTGGCATAAATTGTGGTGAGAGTTTGACAACTGTAGGGTCTTATGTTTTTCCAAGTTGAGTTAATAAAAGCAGGCTCGTGGGATTGTTTCTTACCTGCTTTTTAAGTGGATTTTTACCTGGCTAACCCTGTGTCTCCATGACTCGCAAGGAGGCTCTAGGTTGCTGTTTGACAAAGGCTGTCTCTTGACCAAACTTGAGTCAAGCTCCATGCCCTCAACCTTCAGCCATGGCCAGCTGCACCTCACTGGGCCTGCATAGTCTAGTCCATCGTTAGCAGGAATCCTGCTAACTCAGAGAGAATCTCTAACCCTCAATATCATAGTCTATTTCTCATCCCCTGCCTAATGGGAAAATCCTTGGCTTGCCTTCAGCAAGAATCCTAAATTGGTTTGGCAAGAACTCTTTTACCCTTAATGTCGCCCCTTTCCACCCACTGATCCCCTCATCCCCTTGTTGGTTATCAGTCGCCACTTCTGTATTTAGGGTTGAGCCCAGTCTTTCTCCCCTATTGTGCTGTTCTTGACACCAACCACTATAATCCTGAATAAAATCTTCCTTTCCATTTTCACAAGTGTCAGAATATTTTTTCCTTCCATCCGTTGAACATGAGCCTGAGAATCTAGAACAAGAATCCACAAAGTGTGGCTGATGGGCCAAATTCAGCCCCATATCTGTTTTCATACCACTCATGAGTTAAAACATATTTTTACTTTTCTAAATGGTGGTGGGAGGGTGTTAAAATAATACTTATTGACCCAAGAATCTTACATGAAAATAAAATTTCAGTGTTCATATCATTGGATCACAGCCAGCCCTTTTTTTCCATATTGTCTATAGTTGCTTTAGTGCTACAATGACAGAGTAGAATGTGGTGACAACCATGTGGCTCAAAAAGCCTATTTAGTGTCTGCCCTTTAAGAATATTCACTGCCCACTGGCCTAAAGTAGGTATAGGGATGAACGTGGCTCCCTGAGGTCCTCATTCAAATTCTGTGACTTTGGAAGATAATAATGTTCAGCTTTGCTTTGGCATTGTGATTTTTTTAAAAAAAAATTTTTTGGTTTATAAATGTAGATGAAAGATTTAAGACACTAAAATATTGTGGCTTGGGATATTTTTACTTATGTACATTTTAAGAGAGGCAAGGGAAAAAGGTAATTTACCATTTTCTTTGGGTTTATGATATATGATGCATTTATTTATGATCATATTTAAAATGTTGTCAAATATTTATCCTCTGTAAGAACAGTTACTATAATGTCAGAAATCTATTGGACGCTTTGAAAAACCCAGAATATAAACAGAAACCATCTCCGTACCATCCTCATTACTACTTTCCCCAATTTTCTCTGCAATGGGTCTGCTCATGCTCTGATGCTAGAACACACACAATTGATTTTGGGGAAAGACAATAAGAAGAAAAGAACAGAAAACTTATTAGGTCTTTAATTTCTCCCCTAGCACTGAATTGAGGACAAAGCCTTCATACGTATGATAGCCAAATGCAATGTCTAGATGCTAGGGGTAGGGAGCTTTGGGATTTGGAAAGGTCAGTGAAAGGATAAGAGACCACGTATGCAGTTAGAGTGGTAGGAAGAAGCATGATGTGAAGACAGGGAAGGCACGTAGGCCCTGTTGTCATAATAAAGACAAACACTTCAGAGGACCGTCCATCTTCATTCTCTTCTGATGTTTGCTTCCCGGGGTACACCATGTTTGTGTGGAGTATTGACAGGGATGGAGCTTCCGGATACTATGGTCACTGAGCCTAGGAGACAGGAACTAGACATCACAAGGTAGATTTGAGCTGTGGGGAGCGAGTGTGTCAGTGATAGAAGGTAATGTTTACCTAGCACTAGTACCTAATGTGTGCCAAGCCCTGTTCATATGTACCTCCCTGATTCATTAAGTCCCAGGTTTTTTAATTCTGGGAATATTTCAACAAAGTCAACCAAAGTACATTAAAATAGGTTGGAAATCCTAATTTAGAGCTTGTATGTATCATATTAATATTATAATTTTATTCATGTTCTCAGATAATTATATATTATGTACTATATTTAAGTTTTTATAGGTGTTTTATTTGGCTATTTTCTGGATATGACCAAAAGACTTGGCAAGAGCAATTAGAGGAGGAAAAGTTTATTGGGGTCTTTGCCCCTAGATGGCCGACTCCATTCCTCTAGGTCTGAGGTGATGCAAAACATCATGGTGAAAGGGTGTGTTGGAACAAAGCAGCTCAGG